AGTACATTGGGCGAACCCAAAGGCAGTTGGCAGCCAGGTCTATTGAATACCTGCCCAGATGACTCCTAAAGCAAGAAAATAAAATCCCCTGTTCCTCCATTACGAAACACCTGTTTGATAGTGGTCATTCCGTCGACCCAAAAACTTCCTTTCGAGTACTTGTTCGAGCACAAACAACTCGGACATTGCGTTACCTAGAGGTAGCCTATATACGACGGGCGAAACCAGGTCTTTGTAAATAGTTGGGACACGTGGTTAACCTAACATTGCCATGGTAGCCTATAGCTCCATGATTTCCCCTTCCCCTCTCTTTTTTGGTCGTTAACGCTCCCCTTTTTCACTTTCTTCCCCTACGGTTCTCTGAGTTACTAACTTTATCGATTAGCCAGCTTTACACAAAACCGTGACTTTGCTGTTTCTGCATTGATTTCCTGCACGAATTCAAATCTGTTGTATTCTTCCCACTCGTTATGCCTGTTATGAAGCGCAGGACGCAGCTGACCAAGCCGTCAAGAAATTTTTTGGTACCAATAAATCCTGCCCTGCTTGCCTACTTCAGCTTCCTACCAGGGAGAAAGTGCTTCCAATGGTGGTATGTTGCTTTGTGTTTAGGCCTCCCCCTCACCAGAACGGGCCGCACGGTAAATGAACTGAACCAACAGAGGGGCCAGACTGGGGTTCGGCAGGCGTTGCCGTGGATGCGCACCCATAACGAATACCAACATTGGGGGTGTGGTGGCATGCCCATATGCGGGCTCACACCGCGCCCCTTGGGATCCTTTCCGCTGCCCCACCACATATTTCCTAGTAAATAAAATTCTGTTCAGGTGTTTATTGCGGACCAGGGGACGTGGTAGAACGCCTAGGTACGGGTTTACGCCGCGCCAGCAAGTTGTGCCCACTCTCTCTCCGGTCCTCTTGATTTGGTCTTGACACAAGGCTTAGATGAGGGAGGAGGGGAGAGTGAGGTAGATGCGGCACAAGCATACTGTCAGTACAAACTTACTCACGGTCAAGTCATTGTTTCTCCTCTCCCCATGCTGTGGAGCACAGGGTGGGAATCATCGGAATCGACGGTCGAACCCAATCTTCCCTATAAACCGCACTCATGAATATTATTACCTCATACCGTATGCTTTTCCATTGATTTTCGAAGCCGGCCTAAATGCAGGAATACCCTCCTTCGAATGAATACATTCAGCATTTATTTCTGGTAGTCACAATGCTTGAGATAGGAAATTCCCTAAAAGCTGTACTCTGGAAGGTCATGGAACCTTATCGTGGGGGGGTTTTCGACGACGTATACATGTCTATTTGTATAGCCCCCCCCCCGATCATCCGGTGTAGCCAAAACCCATACATCATAATTTTGCAAGCGCTTCATGACTACAGTAAGAAGTTTTGTTAATTTTCCTGAGAAAAAATACATGGTACTTCAGAAACATAAAAAGAGGTATACGTTTCCGGTTATTTTCCGAACTATATGTTGGGAGAATGTCAAGATCGAAATGCTTGCATACCTTAAATAAAAAAACTTTCAGCAAAGACTCAAAGTTGGGAGGAATTGACTTTTGAGCACTATTTCTAGGAAATACAAATACATTTTAAGAGACTCAAAATTACTTAGAATTAAAAAGCATAGTATAGAATGACTGAAAATATGTATTTTTTTCAAAGAAAATAGGCGCTGGTGCCCAAGGGAATTTCCAGTCAAAGGAGAGCGCGCCGCCCCCGTAGATGATCTTTAAGTCACTTTTCCCGCTCAACGGTATCTTACTTTAATCTTGGCCTATTTGTGGATTTATGTTTATAACATGACTCCGCATATTATCTCTTGAAGTTATTTTGATTGTGGTTCGTGGTCCTACGCATATGTCGACTACCCAATGCCATCCTGAGCATCGAAGTCGTCCATTAGATAATGAAGCAATTATACCAGAGCAGCCCTCATGCACGACCGTTCCGTTAAGAAGACACATAATCTTTAGGCTTTCTGGGTCCGGCATTGAAGTAGCTTCCAACTTTCATCTTGGTACCCAAACCTGGCTTTCCACAAGGAGAACCTGGAGGTCGAGTAGGATGTGCTTTTTCAGAGATCGAAGCAAGCTCACCCCTTCTCTCTGCGGAAGTTAACTTTTGGTCCCGCGAATGACCATGTGGTAATCATGGAATCAGCCCTTGTATGCGGACAACCAACCAACACAAAGGAGATAAAGTCGACAGAACAATAGCCAGCTACAACATAATGAGGTTGCGAATGTGAGTGCAAACTCACAGCGGCTTGACACTCGACAAAACAGTGGAGACCAATCAACCCGTGGGGCTCTTTAAAGTCCACGGGGCGCACCGGAAAGGCCGAACTGGGAGGTCATGGCAAATGGATACAGCTTGTTAACTGTGCCCCGGAACCGTGGCGGGGTCTGATGAGGTGCAAGTGTCATCAACAAAAATTTTGTCAAATAAAAAATCAGGGGAACAGAATTACTGGGAGCGTACAGGCACCTGAGAGGTCACCGACAGCAAAAGTGTTCACTGCGCCGTAAACCAACCGTTGACGTTGTGCCCACTAGCTCGAGGTGCTGGTCTGCACCCGAGTCATGGTCGGCCATGGCCAGTGTTTGATGATCGAAAAATCGACCAGCTTCACGGTGTCGCCGAGTCAAAAGGTGAATCGGACGCGGTGCCAACAGTCAACTGACCAAGTAGACTGTCACAGTTTCATCGCTGCCAGTTTCAATAGGAGTCACACATACAGGCCTGACTGATCACCCTGCCGGTAGATGATGCGACAAAAGGAACCTATTCCTAGCGGGCTAATTCATGTGTCGTCTACAGATTCCAGTGCAACCGAAGAGAAGGTAACTACATAGGAGATACCGACCGAAAACTGCAGGCGCTGACGCATGCGCCCATCCGGGGATGCGGATAGTAGACCCCAAGTGACAGGAGACGGTTCCCGTTGCCCAACTGGGGCAACTCGGCGAAAGATAGGCAACAATCACACGCAAAACATCTGCAGCCGTCCAGTCATTTGACAAGCCTTGTTTCTTCTTTACCAGACGAACAGAGGGAGTCCAAATACGTCAATTCCCGGTCATTATCTATGTAGGCAGATGATGAGACCCGCGATCTAGTAGACGGAGTTGAAATTGGAGGTGAGGTAAATCAACACAGTAGTTGCACCGCCAGAAACGACGACGTCCAACGCATGCCGCAGTGAGTGGGCGCATCAGCAGTGACTTTCGGGTGGGTTTGATACTAGTGAGCCAGACTTGCACTGCACCTATTGCACTATCTCCCCCTCTTCACCCACCTTGTTTCGATGGCAAGACAGTATCGAGAATTCCGTAGGTGGGGACGGCGATGTAATTTAAAATTCGAGAAGCATGGCTTGCCTCCCAAAAATGGTATCACCTCCGTAGTTGACAATATACACGTTTCTATGACGTAAGATAAAGTCTATTTTAACTTGAATATATCTTTTTACCACAGCCTGTATCAGTAAATTTTGCATAAGGTCTGACGGGATGTGTCTCATAAGTCCACACTTGCTAAGGCAAACCGGACTTCTGAAAACGGGCTGCCAGTGCCATTTGCTCAAATATCCAATGTACATGCAATTCTTCTGGTGAACGCCGATCACCACCTAGGATCATAAATTTTTGGACAGATTCGAAGGGGGAAACCACTGAACGCCTCAGTCTTCCTCTGACAGACGTGCTCATCTCCCACCTCCAGAAATTCACAGACGTAAAACCAGTTTTTGAATATAAATTTTCTCTCACTGATAGTTGGCACTGCAGTCTGGTGCATATAAAACGATGGTTACGGGGCCCGGAATGGAGGCCTTTGTGACAATTGCATAGAGACGAGCACGCTCCTTAATTTTGAACATCTACGACGCTTACAGGCTGCGCATAACGTGAACACTGCTTATCCAATCCATATCCTGTTCCCTGCTGGCGTCTGATTGCAATAAATAAGAGAAAGTGATCGTTTCTTTCTAAGTACCTTAGCTGTGAAATCTTATTTAATTGCTATGTGCCGGACTTCAGGAGGCCTAGCTTAAACTTCACGACAGAATAAACCGAGTGTGCGCTGTCCTGAATCTAGCCAGCGTTAATGACTGTTACTTGGCGTGTGTTTTTGACATTCCTGCTATTGCTGACCTGAGAATGAAACCATAGTCCAGGGTGAGAGCAGGCATGATAACTTGTACGTGAATTAGTTTATAATGGTGGTAGACTTGTGCAGCATCTATCGCACTCTCTCTTCTCCACCTGGGCCCGGTGCCAAAACATAGTCAAGAAGACCGGAGACGGGGGAGGCCGCAGGTGGATGGCTCGGACGAATCCTCACCTTGGCGTTCCACCACACCCCCTGGTCCACACAACAATAACCAGGATTTCAACCAACACAACAGAGATTTGGAGGCTGACACGGCCGAAACCGCACCTAGGCGTGCCGCCAACGCCTGGCTCGGATCCCACGCTGTGGTGGAAATGCCATATAGGCCACATTAAAAAGGAGCCATTGCAGCCTGACTCTCAGACCGCCTCCGGTCAAGGAGGAGGTCCAAGTTACCCCGTCAGTTGGCAACCTTCCAAGCCACGGCTTTTAGCGCACCGTGATAGCTTCAAGCGCGTCAGATTGTTTATAGTGAGGAAAGTGCGCTGAGTCGTTGACCTCACTCTCCCTTCCCATTACCGCACCCCAGCCGCTGTCCGAGCCGGTCAGTAGACTGGAGTGAAAAATGGGCGCGGTTGCTGGCACGGTCGACTGACCATGCCTGCGTGCGCCACGGCACGACCTGGCCTCCCATACACACACACTTCAGGATTTCACACAACGGGGGTTGAGCGGCTTGTCTCTCACTTGCGTGAGAGGGCCGTGGAATGTGCTGTTTCGGCCCGTCGGCCAGCCCACCAGTCCGCCATTCCACACAACACAGAAAGCGACGAACTGCGTGAACCGAGAGCGGGCGTCAATCAGCAACCTTCCTATCCACGACGCTTGACGTGTCGAGATAGTCTCGGACTCAAGTCACTCCTGCAGCCGAAGCCACATGAGGACCGAGTCGAGATGCACACTTCCCACTTGCGTGGGAGGTGGCAGTTCGGTGCATGAGGTGTGTGAGTGTTGATGTCTGGTGGGGTGATGGTGGTGATGGTGTTGGAAGGTAGGGAGTGAGTGAATGTGCGGTGTGACCGGCGGTTGTCTACCGCAGGTCGTCGTGGATGCGCATGTGGCTGAATAGGCCCATGTGCGAGGACAATGTGGGCAGTTGAGACGAGCTTGGTGGGTATAGGTTGGTGCTCCAGGCACTGGTTCTCCAGTCTCTGTGCGATGGATTCGCAAGTGACCGACCAGGCCGATGCGAGAGGTGAATGTGCGTGGACAGTGTGGGCTTTAGAAGTCGGTAGTGTCGGTGTCAGCTGCGGGAAGGGCGATGGGCGCGCAGGGTGATGAAGTGGGGTGGGGTTTGGCATGATGGGTGAGTCGGGACTGCGGTCATTTCCTCTCTCGTGTATGCCCATGCGGCCGAATAGACCCATGCGATGCGTGAAGATACGAGGGCAGTGTGGGCAGTGGAGGCGGGTGCGGTGGGTGTGGGTTAGTGCTCCCAGCACTGGTTCGTCAGTCTCTGTCCGATGGACCCGCAAGTGACCGACTAGGCCGATGTGTGAGGTGAAGGTGCGGTCGCAGTGAGGGCCGATGTAGTCCTGATCCTCATCTTTAGAGTCGGAGGCAGTGGGGGTGGTGTCGGTTGATGCCTCAGGGTTGGGGATGTGCGTGAGCGGCCGTCGTTGGGGCAGTGGAGGAGGAGGATGAGGCGGTGGCGGCGGCGGCGGCGGCGGATGGAAGTGGTGGTTCGGAAGAAGACGCAGGTTTAGTTGATGGCGGAGAGGACGAGAGAGAGGCGGGCGGAGGGACGACTGCTGGTGCGGTCTCAGATGTACAGTTGATCCAAAGGTACCCGACAAGTCCAATTCGTGCCCACGGAATGTCCGTTGGCATGGAGGACACGTAAGGAGCGGTTGTCCGTCGGCGTTGCGTACTGGGCGCAGCTGTGATTTGCGGGCTTCTCCTTTCACTTTGGCTGCGGCGATGCGGTTGGCTTCATAGATCGCAGAACCTGTCTTCACTGCCCGCCGCCAGGTCGCTTGGTCGAGGGCGAGCTCTTCCCAGTTGGTCGGGATGATTTGCAGACGCTCCAGAGAGGACTTCAGGGTATCCGTGTAACGACGAATTTTGCCTTCTTGGCGGCGAGAACCCGTCGCGATGTCTCCGTAGAAGAGTCGTTTGGGTAGTCGCTCGTCAACCATGCACACCAGATGGCCGCTCCAACGCAGCTGTATTTGTCTCAGCATGGTGTAGATGCTGAGAATTCCCGTCCGTTCCAGCACATCAGTGTCGGGGATTCGATCCTGCCAGCTCAGCCTCAGGATGCGACGTAGACAACTGAGGTGGAAGTGGTTCAGTCGGCGTGCCTGCTTTGTGTACACTGTCCAAGTCTGCGCTCCGTACGGCAGCGTCGGCAGGATGACGGCCTTGTACGTCTTCAGCTTCGTGCTCAGTTGCAGACTATGAAGATTCCAAACAGTGCTTTGAAAGCGGCCGAAGGCTTGATTGGCTTTCGAGATCCTGTTGGCGACTTCGTCATCGATCTTGGTGTTTCGGGAGAGAATATTGCCCAGGTACGGGAAGTTCTCCACCACTTGCAGTTGTGTCCCATTCACACTGATTTGCGGCGGCGCGTTGGGGGCTGTGGCTGAGTTGGGTGGCGGTTGATGCATCACCACCGTCTTCTGCGTGTTGATGACCAGCCCAAAGTTCTCGCAGGCGACTGAGAACAGGTCCATGCTCCATTGCATCTCCTCTTCCGAGGTGGTGTTCAGGGCGCAGTCGTCGGCGAAGGGGAGTACGTGAACGGTTGTTGTGGATACGCGTGATTGGAAGTGCATCCGCCGTTGATTCAGCAGGTGACCGTCCGTCCTGTAGGCGATGCGAATCCCGGGACGTTCGTCGCGGTAGGCGTCCATCAGCATGGCAGAGAACATAAGACTGAAGAGGGTTGGTGCCAGCACGCATCCCTGCTTCACTCCGTTAGTCACTGCGAATGCCTCTGAGACAGCTCCGTTGTCCGTGACTCGCGCCATCATACCGTCGTGCAGCTGACGCACCATCTTAGTGAATCGCTCCGGACAGCCGAATTTCTGCCTGATATTCCACAGTCCTTCACGATTCACCGTGTCGAAGGCTTTTGTCAGGTCCACGAAGGTAGAGTACAGGTGGGTCCGCATCTCCTGACACTTCTCCTGAAGTTGACGGGCGGCGAAGATCATATCCGTGGTCCCACGATGACGACGGAAGCCGCATTGGCTTTCCAGCAGATGGCTCTGTCCTAGATGATTATTCAGACGATTTAGAAGGATGCGAGTGAAGATCTTCCCGGCGATGTTCAGCAGGGAGATGCCACGGTAATTGTCGCAGATTTGGCGGTTCCGTTTTTGCTTCTATAGATTCACGATTGTTGCGTCTTTGAAATCTTGCGGGACTTCACCTTGACGCCACATCTCTAGGAAGAGCGCAGTCACGTGATCCATCAGTTGGGGACCTCCGTGCTTGTAGATCTCAGCAGGGATTGCGTCCGATCCGGGTGCTTTCCCGCTGGAGATCTGCTGCACGGCCCTGATGGTTTCCCGGAGAGATGACGGGAGGTCGAGGTCCACGTTGGTCTCTACTTGCGGCAAACGGGCGATGACGGCGTCGGAGATGGTGAAGGGGCGGTTGAGGACGCCTCGGAAGTGCTCGACCCATCGCTGTAGAATTTGTGTCTTCTAGGTCAGAAGAGTACTACCGTCGGCGCTGAGGAGAGGAGCAGTGCCTTTCGTCGGCAGACCGTAGGCAGCATTGATCGCGGAGAAGTTCTTCCACTCATTGTGGTCCGCGTAGCCTTGGATCTCCTCAGCTTTGCGAGCATTCCAGGCGTCCTGCATCTCGCGCAGTCGTTGTTGAAGGTTGCGGCGACTGCTGTAGAAAGCAGCTTTGTCGTCGTCAGTGGGGTGGTCCACGTAGGCTTTGTGTAGGCGGTTCTTCTCGGCGAGCAGATTGCTGATGGCAGCGTCGTTGTCGTCGATCCAGTCCTGGTGTTGAAGGGGGGCGCAACCGAGGATGGCTAGCGCCGTCGACTGGATCGTGTCTCGCAGTTGACACCAGCGGTTCTCCACGGCAGCGGCGGCGTCGGCGGTGGAGGCAGCGATTGGAAGGTTGTCTAGCCGTTGAGCAAGCTCATTGCTGAAATGAAGATGGTGAGCAGGCAAAGACAACAAAGCAACATTCAGCTTACCTGAGGGTCGCTTACCTTGTGGTCTCCTGCGAGGCTGTAGACGTATAAGCATCTTCGAGATGACGAGGTGATGGTCGGTACACCCGTCAGCGCCTGCGATCGCCTTTGTTACCAGCAAGTCCCGCTGATCTCGCCTCCGGACGAGGACATAGTCCAGCAGGTGCCACTGACGCGACCGAGGATGCCTCCAGGTGGCCTTCTCTCGCTCCGGCAGACAGAAGAAGGTGTTTGTCAGGATGAGGCGGTGTTCTGCGCAGGTGCGGAGGAGCAGCAGACCATTGTCGTTGGAGCCGCGGAGACCGTGAGGACCCAGTACTCCTCTCCAGGCTGCATGGTCTGCGCTGACGCGGGCGTTGAATTCACCAAGGACAATCAGCTTGTCCGCCTTCGACACAGTCGCCAAGAGGGCGTGCAGGTCCTCGTAGAAAATGTCTATTGCGGCGGCGTCGGGGCTGCTCATCGGCGGAGCGTAGGCACTGATGATGGTGGCGAATTCGCCCCCACCCCGGAGAGGCAGACGGAGGCTCATCAGGCGATCGTTGATGCCCTGCGTCAGACTGGGCAGTCGTCCCACGATGTCGGTCCGGATGGCGAAGGCGACACCCGCGTTTCGTCGCTCTGCCCTGGGTCGACCGCTCCAGAAGAAGGTGTAACCGGCACCCACCTCCTCCGGTTGGTCTTGTTCGAAGAATCGAGTCTCGCTGAGTGCGGCGATGTCCACCTTGTCGCGCGCCAGTTCTCGTGCCACTAGAGCCGTCCTCTGTTCCGGTCGGTTGCTCCTCGGATTGTCTAAAAGGCAACGAACATTCCAGGCTGTCAGATTAAGCGGACTCACCCTGCCAGTCTGGGGACAACGAGTGTGGCGGCGGGAAGAAGGTGGAGAAGAAGATGGCGAAGGAGAAGAATAGGCAGGGGAAGAGGAAGAAGAGGTAGGATGATTAGAGTGAGTGTTGTTGTTGTTGTTGTTGTTGTAATTTCGATTTTGGTTGTTTTGGCCGTGAGTTTAGCGTCTGCGACCACAGTCAGCCTGCAGACGACGTCGTTCCCCAGCAATTTTTAGGTCAGCTTTTCCAGGCCTCCTCCGAAGAGAAGCATTGCCCCCCCCCTGAAGTGGGCTGCTCGATGTGCCGGCGCGGCCGAACTCCACTACGGGCCACGAGATTTTCTTGGCAGCGGAAGAGCGACTCGAATTTGCTAATAGCTTACAACATCGCCGTAAGCCTGCGATCTCTTACGGTGCGCCAAATGGGCGCGTATCGGCGATGCCGATTCGAAGATCCATCCCACCGGCTGACCAACGGCGTACCAGGCGGAGCGTCTTCAGGACAGTGCCGACACGGTGTTCCATACGACCAACCGTCCAGCGGAGTCCGCAGTACCCTGTGCACGTGGCATAACGCGCACCGGGATTAACCGCCCTCACCTGGTTTAGCCCGCCGGTCTATGCGGTTGCCCGGGGTGTAGCCGCTGAGCAGAGCCCAGCTACGTGGAGCCACAAGTGAGAGTTTAGTTCCAGCAAGTGGACGCTAGGAGTAGTCTCACCTGCAAGCAAGTGAGCGACCACTACGACCATCACTGTACCCACCGCTGACACCCCTACAACCCATTCCACACTTCCGCTAGGAATTTCTAAATCTTCACAAATGACTACATTTATGCCTTTCATATGAAGGTCTCCAGGACAGAGCAACGAGGATCTGGCGAACGCTGGCGTATACTCTCAGTATGTTCAGGACCGTTATTCATCGTCATCGACCTCGGAAGATTGGTGGTTAGTTAACTATGCTAAACAATGATAGGTTGGCTGATCGTGCGGTGGAAGAGTCGAACGCCACGAGGTAAAACCCATCAAACTACCTGAAAGAATCCAACACTTAACCAGCAGCATGTGTTAGAGAAATGCCAACCCGATGAACCGAATGAGCTCGCTGATGAAAGTTAGGTCATGGAAGATGCTGAGGTAATAATCCGAAGGAACGACCGCAAGATAAGGGGGACGGAGGAGGTTGGGCATACAATCAAGACAGCCATCAGTCTCTGAACGATCTTTCTTGCAGCATAAGACAGTTCAACCGTCGTTGCCGACTACGTCCACCGTGAGCTACAAAACAAGGTGACTTGCGCTTGATTTAATTCATGGTGATAGCAGAGTAGAACAGCACCTCCACCAATCTCTCCTCCTCCCCATCTGGACCCGCTTCTGCCTGGCTCTCAGCCTACCATTCCACCACTCCACAAAAATACACACACGCGCAAACGATATTCCGAACGTCGATTTCGACTATGTCCACTATGTGCTCCACAGCTGCAACAGCGGTGGGAGCAGGGACGGTGACTTGCGCAGGGGTTTATAGTGCCGATAGACTTGCGCTGCATCTACCTACACTCTCTCCTCCTCCCCCGCCTGAGCCCGGTGTCAAGACAGAGTCAAGAAGACCGGAGACGGGGGAGGCCGCAGGTGGATGGCTTGGACGGATCCTCGCCTTGGCGCTCCACTCCGCAACCCCTGGTCTACACACAAATGACCAGGATTTTACCACAAAACAATGCAGTGGTGGCAGTGGTCCAGTTGTGCGACGAATGCCGACAACAGGGTCCGCCAGCGCACCCCGCAAATGTTGGCATTTGTTAGTGCGCACAGATAACGCCTGCCAGTGTCCGATGTGGTCCCCGTGTTGGTACAGCGCATCTAACACGTGGCCCGTTCTGAGGGCACAACACACACACACACACAAATCGGCGGTGGCCGCCAGCTATCCTCTTTGGACTGTGTGGTAACCGATCTTCATTTAGTTATCAGATTGTTGAGTGGAATGTTTTCTTCCACCAGCTAGGTTTGATCAAGCTCTATAAATCTATCCGTGCTTTCTGTAGTTTAACAATTCGCCTTCTTAAAATGTGGTAGTCTTTCGTGTGACTACGTCTTCTGGTCATTTCCACTCCGACAGCGGAGAACGAAGTTCGAGTCAGTCATTTTCCGTCAATCCTGCACAAGTATGCCCCACTGGCTAGAGTCACCGAGAGTCAATTTGAAAGGGCGTAGATCCTCATAGGCCGTTTTCTTCCACTATAACGTTTCTCTGGTATTACTCGAGCCCTTATGCCTACTTTCGACATCCTTTGGCTAATGGCGTGGTGGAACCAGTCTGAGTGGTATTCTGACCTGCAATCCAGTTTATTTCGATGATGATGATGTCGCTGGGAGAAGACGGGGGTCAACATTTGTGACGTCATATACCCCAAATACTCGTCAGAGATAATCCTTAAACTCCAGAGAAATGGTTAAAATCAGTACCTAGAAATTAGAGCCTTTATTTTAACATCTTAAAATGATCGCAACCAGAGAAAAATCGATATAATAGGGTCCCCGGTAAACCTGATAAATGTTCGCCCACTAATTTATGAAACTCGTCAAGCTACCTCACGCATCAGCTCTTTCCCTTTGCATAGGGCTAGGTCTTTTTTCCCCACAAGGCTATTTTCGTAAACCAATCAGAGGGTCAAGACTACCGCTGATAGTGCTGATGATGGACAAATTGGCAAATTAACCTGTGGGCTTGCTGTTAGACGTTGGAGCATCTGATAAGGGTCCAGCTGTCTCTCCAAGCCCACAAATCCCCCCTTTGGAGAGTGAGAGAGAGAGCATCCAACCCATCCTCCCCCCTTCCCCGTTTCCTCAGTAGGGCAGGTCATGCAATATCATCTGAAATCACCACCGGAATAAAGTCGCAGGAGACTTGCCCACCGTGAAACTCGCGGGGGAGCGGAAATGCGACGCAGGAGACGCACGTAAACAGCCAACACCCGGGTGAGAAACAGACAGCTC